AAAGCTTTTTGTCTGGTTATTCCGTGTTTTCCACGTTGAAGGGAGCTCCAGGTCGTGCAGGGGCTGTACCTGCATCTCCTGCCCTGTTCCCCTGAAGATGCTGCACCCCTGGCTTTGTCTCAAATGTGGCTTTGATTCCTTCTCTCCAGTTCTAGCTACGCTGGAAGCATTCCCGAAAATGAAAGCCAGCTCTTTTCTTGGCTTTGAAGTGTGGAGTAGAACTGAACAGAGAGGAGAAAAAAAAAATCTATCTTATGGGGGATGGGTTTTTAGAAAAACACCCAATTGAATCAACAGCATTTGTATTAAAACCAGCGAGTCCTTGGAGTATTTCCATAGGATCCAGCCCTGCCTGCAGCAGCTCCCAAAGGTGTGGAGGAGTGGGGAGCAGTGGCCAGGGGGGTTCTGGGGTTCAGGGCAGGGAAGGCTGCTCATTGTTGAGTCAGTGATTCACGGCTGTGACTCACAGCCCCATCCTATGGGCGTGGAAGGCAGCCAGGTCTGGCCATCAGCTGTGTGCGTTCTCTTCTGGGAGGTTATTTTTGGATGTTTTTAGATTACAGCCCTCGGGTTTTTTTTTTTTTTTTTTTTTTTGCAATGCTAAGGCATTTCCAAAATAGCTTTTCTACGTGGCGTCATGAGGAGCAGGCAAACAGCTTTGTGCAAAATTCGGGAGCACTGGGTGCAGTAAGGGTGAAAAAAAGGACATAGGGGTGTCAGGTTGAACATGAATCACCAGTGCACCCTTGCACTGACTGGTTTTACTGGTCAGCTTGTAGCCAGCAGGACAAGAAGTTGCCCTCACAGCACTGTGGCACTCACAGATCAACACCCGGAGCACTGTGCCAAATTTTGGGCTCCTCACTGCAACAAAAGCAGGGCCATGAGAGCCGCCAAAATGATCTGAGCACTGGGGCCCAAGGCAGGGTTGGGGAAACTCCTTCTGCTTGGAAGTGTGGGGTTTAGGAGCACTGCAGGACCCTTAGGGACCCTTCCAACCCAAACCATTGTAGGATTCCGTGATTCATGCCCCTCTTCCAGTCCCATTTTGTGATTTTTCAGGGAGTTAAGGGGATGTCGGGCTCTGGGTGTGCCCCACACGGTGGGGCAGTGGAGGGGCTGGTGAGGTTCATGCCAGGAGTTCACGTGCTCATCCCTCACTAAGACCACGAGGAAGAAAAAGGGTCTGAACTGCTGCCCATCCTGAGCTGGTGCTGCCCAGTCCTCCTTCCCTGGGACACACAGCTCTAGAGCAAGAGCTCAAAAACAAGGTCCGAGTTTCCTGGGCTGGTTCCTGGGAGGGTTGGACTGTGCCACTCAGACCCCTCCCAGGCTGCAGGGACTGCCCAGACCCTTCATCCCTCCCTTTCCAACCCATTCCTGGCCAAATCTGGTGCCCAGCGATGCCAGCTCTCCCGTCTGTGCCTTCATGCAGCCCTGGGGCCAAGGTGGGGTGGGGTCAGGAGTTCTGGTGCAGGTGAATTTCCTGACCACGGTGTGAGCCTTTCCTTCTGTGCATTCCCGTTTCCGTGGGACACTCTGGAGGCTGTGATGGGGGGCAGGAGGAATTTCTGTACAGGGAAGCTTGAAGGAGTTGCCTGAAGGAGGGAAGAGTCTTTTGGGAGGTGGAAAATGTGATGCTGGCACTGCCACATCCAAGAGGAAAATTGAACCCGAGCCTCTGATTTCAAAACAGAGTTCAAGTCACTGGAATATTACAATTTAAAGAAACACCCAGAATGTATTTGGCATTTTTTTGTGCTTTTCCTCCCCCATCTCTGGGTACCACCATCGTGTTAGGGCAGCTCCCAGAGCCAGGACCAGCGGCTGGGAGGCTCGGGGATGTTTCTGAGCAGCTTTCCCCAAGCCCTGAAAAACCTGGGAACTTCATCTTGCAGCTGGGGGTGGGGCAGGAGCTGCTGGGGTTAACGGGTGGCTGAATGGGTTGTGGTTTGCGATGGAGTTCAGGTTCCTAAGTCCTTTATTGGATCTAGCCCGGGGCTCTATTCCCAGCCCTGGTTGTGACATTAACAGGTCACTGCAGCCCCAGGGCTGTCCCCACCTTGTCCTGGCACGGCCCCGAGCCGGAGTCTCGGCACAGGCATCACGGAGGAATCAATTTGGGAGGCGAGCACGCCTCATTTCTGGATTTTTTTTGAAAGCGTGCCACCACTCACGGAGAGCAGCAGGGCTGTAAATAAAGCCCAGGATGTCCTGGGGGGCGGCAGACAGCAGGTATTTCAGGATGCTGCCTGCAGGGTCGTGCCGGGGCAGCTTCTGCTCCGTTCGTGGTTATTTACATCCTCTAAAGATTAAGTGGTGTGAGAACAGCGCCCTGTGCCCGGCTGGGGATGGATCAGGCACGGGATAAAGGGGAGGGATGGTCCCGTGCTCCCGGCTCGGGTCCTGCACGTCTTTGGCCAAGTTGTTAAAGACCAGATTTTCTGCAGAGCACCCGGGAGTGTCTGCACAGCATCCTTCCAGTCAGATGTTGTTTTTCAAAGGGAATTCAGAATTCCAGAGTGGTTTGGGTTGGAAATGACCTCACAGCCCATCTCATTCCACCCCTGCAATGAGCAGGGACACCTTGCACTATGCCAGGCTGCTCCAAGCCCTGTCCAACCTGGCCTTGGACACTTCCAGGGATCCTTGGACAGCTTCTCTGGGCACAGGCAAGGATTTCACAGGGATGGTGAGAGCTCATGTGCGCTCAAGGCTTCTCTCCTTGAGGAGCTTTGATGCAGCTACGAGGTCACTGTGGCAGGTACAGAACGTGCCCGTGGGTCCATCCCAGCTCCTGAATGTCCCCATTGAGCCTGTTCTGTGTGTGAGGGGGCACTCGGGCAGGGGGATGCTCAGCAGGGCGTGTGGAGCCCATCTGGTGCCCAGCCCGTGGCACTGAGCTGGCACCGGCCGTGCCCACGCCGGCATTTGCAGCGTGCAGGGAGCAGAGAGCTCAGGCACGGAGCTGCCAGAGGGGCACCCCTGGGGTGTCGGTGTGGAGAGGGGCTGAGCAGGAATTCAGGGGCTGAGCAGGAGTTCAGAGGCTGAGCAGAAATTCGGGAATTGAGCAGAAATTCAGAGGCTGAGCAGGAATTCAGGGGCTGAGCAGGAATTCGGGAGCTGAGCAGGAATTCAGAGGCTGAGCAGAAATTGAGGGGCTGAGCAAAAATTCGGGAATTGAGCAGAAATTCAGAGGCTGAGCAGGAATTCAGTGGCTGAGCAGAAATTCAGGGGCTGAGCAGGAATTCAGTGGCTGAGCAGGAATTCGGGAGCTGAGCAGGAATTCAGAGGCTGAGCAGGAATTGAAGGGCTGAGCAGGAATTCAGAAGCTGAGCAGAAATTCGGGAATTGAGCAGAAATTCAGAGGCTGAGCAGGAATTCAGGGGCTGAGCAGGAATTCAGGGGCTGAGCAGGAATTCAGAGGCTGAGCAGGAATTCGGGAGCTGAGCAGGAATTCAGGGTCTGAGCAGGAATTCAGGGGCTGAACAGGAATCTGGTGTCAGAACAGGATGTTGAGATCTCAGCAGGGCTTCAGGATCCGAGCAGCGTGTTGGAATCTAAGCAGGGTATAGGGATCTGAGCAGGGGGTTGGGGTCTGGCAGCTCCTGGGTATAAGGGCTGTGTTGGGGTCTTAGCAGGGTGTTGAGATCTCAGCAGGGCTTCAGGGTCTGAGCAGGATGTTGAGGTCTGAGCAGGGTTTTGGGGTCAGAGCAAGGTTTTGGGGTCAGAGCAGGGTTTTGGGGTCAGAGCAAGGTTTTGGGGTCTGGCAGCTCCTGGGTATAAAGGCTGGCACCCCAGTGCTGGAGGAGGCCACCCCCGTGCCTTGCAGCCTGGTGCTTTGAGCACTTTCCTGGGAAATGGGGCAAAGTCTCTTCATGGGAAGGGTTTTCCAACCCTCCCATCCTCCCCTGTCTCACTTCAGGAGAGCTCCCAGCTGCAAGAGCAGGGCAGCCCTCATCCCAGGGAGCCAGCACACAGCCGAGGGGTAAATCCTGGCATTCCAATGGATGGAAAGGGCTGTGGGTGGTGAGCAGGGACTGGGAGAGGACACAGCGAGCAGTGAGGTCATTCCGGGACAGAGCAGAGGGGACCCCAGGAAGCTGCTGAGATGTTTAGGAAGTGTGGAGGCTCTGTAGGGGCTCTGGGAGCACAGCCCTGAGCAGTGAGGGGTGGCTGAGCACAGCTGACACCTGGCAGACATGAAAGCAGGGCTTGTTAGCCTGCACACAGAGCTCTGATTGTAGCCTTGGCCACTGAACCTCCCCAGCCAAAGCCTGTCAGCATCCCCCGGGTTTTCCCAGGCGGATCTGTGGTGCTCAGCACCCCCAGCAGCCAAGGGGAACCGAGGCAGATGCTCAGATGCTCCCTGATCTCTTCTCCAGCCTCCCCAGGATTGATCTTGGACTCTTTTCAGAGCAAATTCTGTGGTGCCAGGCAGCTGCTCCATGATGATCCCAAATCTCACCACACCATGGGGTTTTCTCACCCTCCATCACACGAATGAAGCTGCAGAATGAAGTTGTAACCTGGAAGAGCTTGAAAGGTGCCTCCACTCCCAGCCTGCAGAAGGACCTGGTCCTACAAGGGTGCATCTGCACCTCTGGGGCTTCAGGACTGCAGTTTTTGTGATTTACGTTGTAATTTTGGCAATGGATTACATTATATCCCACGGCAGGGGGGGTGGAAATAGATGATCCCCAAGTTCTCTCCTGACCCAAACCATTCTGTGATTCCACACTGGTGGGATTTTGAGGAGATGAGATGCTTGGCTGTAGCCTCTGAGGGCACCGGGAGTCAGGAAGGTGCTGCTGGAAGCACCACGGAGTCCCCAAGTGCTTTTGTGGTTATTCTTCAAGAGCCTGGTGAGGGATGGACACCTCTGAAAGGCTCTTGGCTCCTGAGTGCTGTGTAATAGGAGGATTTAAAGCCTGCCCTGGTCCAGCCCACTCCTCCTGACTGAAGTGGAGTAACTCGCTGTTTGTTTTCTTTTCCCACAGCTCCCAGAATGGAGAGGAAGCTGGAGCCTGGCCCAGCAACCAGTTTGACACAGAGATGCTCCAAGCCATGATCCTGGCTTCAGCCAACGGTTGGTGTCCATCATTCCTGGGAAAACCCTGACTCTGCTCTGTGGGGCCGGGTCATGCTGACAGAGGAGATGCTGTGGGACTGATTTATCTGGGTTGGCTGGGAGTTCTGCTTCCACAGACCCCAAAGGTGGTGGAAAAGCACTGAGAGGGGTCAGGAAGGATCCAGGCAGAGGAGACACCTGGTTCCTGTAGGCAGGGACATCTCTGCCACCCAAACTCAAGTTTGCTTTGTACTCAAACACCATCAGGCTGTGCTGTGCTTGTGTTACATCAAAAAGCCAGTCTGGAGATGATGTTTTATAAAATACTTGGTTCCAGAAAATCACATAAATTTAACTTTCTGGAAGGTCATGAGGAAGGAAGGGAAAGGAAAGGAAAGGAAAGGAAAGGAAAGGAAAGGAAAGGAAAGGAAAGGAAAGGAAAGGAAAGGAAAGGA